GGCGGGGGGCCCCCCAAGGCGGAGGCCCCCGAGGCGGCGGCGGCGGCGGCGGCCTCGGACGAGCGCTGCGCCCTGGCGCTGGGCGCGCAGGCGGAGCGCTGGCTGCAGTTCCAGAAGCGCCAGCGGGTGAGCTGCGAGGAGGCGGCCAAGCTGCTGCTGGACACCTTGTGAGTAAGCGGGGCGCGCGGGCTGCGCGCGGGCTGGAGGGGCGGCCGCCGGGGCCCCCTTCTCGACCCCCCGGGGGGCCGGCGCGGGCCGCGGCCCCAGCCCCGGGCTGCCCGGGGGAGGTTTCCCGACCGCCAGGGCGGGAGCACCGTGCCGCCATCAGTCACCTGGGGAGCAGCCGCCGCCATCAGGTGCGCGGCGGGCACCCCCTGGAGGACCTGACCCGTCTCCCCGCTTGGCCTGGCGGTTCCGAGGCTCTTGGGAACGGAGAGGTGGCCATGAAAAGGAGCGTCCTCACGCCTCTTCCGCCGCGGCCCTGCCCCCACGTGGGGAGAGGTCTGGCCTCTAATCCACCATCCGCTGGGTCAGAGGCCAGGTTCTGGCGAGGGCTGATGGGTGTTTCTTTCTTGGAATCATGAAACCACAGCCAGCGGCCCCAAGGGAGACCCCTGGGAGCTGGGCTATAAACTGCCCACCACTGCCTCAGTCCGAGTGTGCAAGGACCAGCTGTGGTTAACCTGGATGCAAAACGCACTCTAATTCCAATTACTCTTCCTCTTTTTCCCCAACCATCCTCAGTATTTACATCTAACATTTTAACTGTGTCTTATTTTATGTTTCATGTTCCCCAGGGTAGCAGGGTGACACTAGCCACTTCCCTTGAGGTGGGAAGGAACACCAGTATGACGTAGTGGTTGGGGTTGGACTGGGATTCAGGAGCTCTGGGTTCTAGTCCCACTCAGCCATGAGGCTCCCTGAGTGACTTTGGGCCAGTCCTTGACTCTGAGCATGGCCTACCTCACGGGGTTGTTGCTGGGAGAATATAATGGACAGAACATTGTAAGCTGCTTTGGGCTCCTTGCGAGAAGAAAGTCGGACTGTAAGAGTAACAACACCTCAGAATAATGGTCTGTATGACTGGGAGGCTGGTGTCACACGGGAACAGCAAAGTAAAATGCAGAGGAAGGTCAGCTTGTGGGTTGCACAGAGCTCTTTGTCAGCTGGACCAACTCAGCATTTTCTGCATGTTGCCAGTCTGAGAAATGGTAAATAATTGTGGACTAAAGGCAAGCACTGCCTGAATAAATGAACGGAAAAACTGAAATGCAGAAAGGGTCGTAACAAAGCCCCCTTCTCGTCCATCTCTCTAGCGAGTACCAAGCTCTGGTGAAGCACACGGGGGGATGCCACTGTGGAGCCGTCCGATTCGAGGTCTGGGCATCGGGGGATCTGCATGTCTTTGACTGCAAGTGAGTGAGTGAGCCCCCCTTGCCACGGATGCCTCGGCCCTTTGCAAAGGAGGGGCATTTTAGAAGAAGCGTGGGATTTTTTTTTTTTTAATGGCTGACATTCACCTGCCTGTTCTTTGGTGCTGCTCAAGCTATGATGGGCCACGGGGGGGCCAAGCACGATCCAAGAGTGGATTTGGTTCAGAGCACGGTTTCCTTCTCTTCTTTTAGCTGCAGCATCTGCGTCAAGAAGCAAAACAGGCATTTCATTGTTCCGGCGTCTCGCTTCAAGTTGCTGAAGGTAAGCCCAGGGGCTGGGGCGAGACACCTGGCGTGCAAAATCGTTGGGAAGTTTTATTTTGACCCGAGCACCGCAGCAGACAGCAGCTGCTGCTCCTGGGCTGCGTGTGGTCCATCAGCTGAGGCCGTGGGGATGGCCTGTTCTTCTCTGCTGGTTTGCCAGCCTCCCTCCTCCCCTTCTAGGCCTGCGCCGCATCTCTAGTCTTGCACTTTGGCATGTGCTTGGAGGCCAAAGCCCAGAGCCTTGCAGCCTGGGGGGACCCCAGATGACCAGCCAGAAGGAAACTCCGTTTTTTTCCTGGTGCCGTGATTGAAACGAGACTAAAATGCAAAGCTGCGTGTGTTCCAGAAATTCCTTCTGAAAAGTATCTCCCTTGGCCAACGAGTCCTTTTCTAATGCAGCAAGAGCGCCGAAGCGGGGCAAAGGGGTGGCAGGGCTGTGCGGGGTCGAGCAGTGGCACAAATGCTTTTGCGGTGCTCTCCCCAGCTGCCGGCCAGCCTCAGGATGCTGCTAATTTGCATCTTTCGTTTGCATCCCAGCTTTCCACCAAGAACGTCCCTCAGGGTGTCTTAGAATCAGTACTAACACTGGATAAAAACAATCCTGAACGAATACAGAGAACGCAGTTGAGGATGTAACTGTAACAAACAAAAACAGCTTCCAACCCAGCGGACCCTCTGACACACCGAAGGCCTGCTTGAACGAGGTGGTCTTTACCTGCTGGCGGAAGGACAGCGGAGGGGTCCACTGAGCCTCCCTCAGCAGGGAGGTCCAGAGCCTGGGAGGGGCCCCCGAGAAGGCCTCTCCCGTATGGCCACCAAACATGCCGCTGGAGGCAGCTGCCTCAAAGTCCTTTCCAAAGCCCCCTCCCTTAAAATGTCCAAGTCTGTGGTGCAAGATCGCCTCAATCCACTGAATGCCCCAGGCAGCGTTTCGCCGTTGGCCTTTAGCTAGAGCGCGTGCCTAGAAGCAACGCGAGTTCGCCGCTTGCCTTGACAGAGGCGGTGATGAGCAGAATCCGTCCCCCCGCCTGCTCCCCGCTTCTGCTCATCTGCAGTACTGGGGTGGGTGGCCGGCCCTGGCCTGCCTTGCAGGGCTGTCGCGAGGAAAGAACCCCGCACGTGTAAAAAGCTACCGGTCTTCTTTCCGCCAAGGGTGCCGACAACCTCGCCACGTACACCTTCAACACTCACTGCGCCCAGCACACCTTCTGCAAGACGTGTGGCGTGCAGAGTTTCTACACCCCCCGCTCCAACCCCGACGGCTACGGTAGGACGCTCTGCTTCTGCGCCTTCGGACTCTGGGCCGGCTTCTCCCGGCTGACTGTGCCATCCCGAGACCCGCCAGCTGCACCCCAGGGCAAAATGGTGGCTCCGTGGCTGGCTGCCGGCATGACCCGCGTATCTGGGTTCAACGCTCCCTCTTAGCGACCCAGTGGAAGGAATTGGATTTCTTTGAAGTCTTTAGTTATAACTAGAGTCCCATTTCTCTGGCACAAACATACTACCGGCAGCCCAATTTAGAAAGGGGAAGTGCTCACACTTGTTAAATAATTGGGATTGGGCGCCTCCCCACCTGGCTGCCACTCTGGATATATTGGACTGGAACTCCCAGAATCCCCCTTAGCCCTCCAGTTCCCCATATCGCCCTGCTCATTCCCCCTGACCACCGATATGTGGCTGCCTTCTCAGGCTCGGGGTGTTTCCCCCCATTCCTAAAGGCTGAAAAGCGGAAGGCTTGGCCCCTGGCAACCAGGTTTGAGCCGTGCTTACTGGCGCTTCTTGGCCCCACCCACCCTGGGACGGCCCCGCCCCTCACCCGGAAAGACGGGATTCGGCCCCCGGGCCTTGCCTGGGCTTTCCGGGAAGACAGCACTGACCCGGTGTCGGCCCTGTTTCAGGAATCGCTCCGCACTGCCTGGACGAGGGGACCGTGAGCAGCGTCACCGTGGAGGTGATCGACGGCAAGCAGTGGGAGGAGGCGGTGAAGGCTCATCCCAGCATCCACAGCATGTCGAAGCCGTGACCCAGCCCGCCCGGCGTGCAGGTGCCCCCTGGGCCGCCCCCCTCCAGCCCTCTGCGTCTTGGATCGCTCAGCGGATCACTGTTTCAAATACATGTAGGAAATAAAAGTTATATTTTTGTAAGGGGAAACCGACTCTTCGGCTGCCCTTTCTCGCTTATCAAAACAAGACAGCTTTCCGGAAGAAGCAGCTTGGTGTGAATAGACCAAAAGAAATTTAATAATGCACGTAAAAGTGGCTAGTCCTCACTGTTCCACAAATAGTGCTTACTAATGGCTCAGAAGGCAGATAAAGGATTCCGCTGGACTCCAAGAATGCATCTTAGGCCAAACTTTCAGTTTTCAACAACAAAAGCCGTAAGAATCTTTTTCCCCTCTCAGACCAGGATTTATGCTAACCTGCTTCCTGGGGACCCTACAGTGGGGACTCGGAATTGGTGTCTTATGGTTCTTTTTGTTAAAGCTGCCTGGATTTGGGGAGGGCCCCTTTTCAGCTAGCAAAGCCCCACCCTTAAGGGCGCAAGCCACGCCATTGCCCATCCCCGTACGACCTGGTCGGATCGCCTGCAGCAGGAGAAGAGACCAAGGGGCTGGTGAAGTGGGCCGTGGGAGAACCGCTCCTGGGCCCCGTGATTCTGCTGCCATTGGGCACGAGCCAAAGGAGGATGGGAGCATCCACCGTTCCCCAACCTTGTGCCCTCCCGTGGTGTAGGGCTACAGCTGGCTGGGGAGCGATGGGACTTGTAACCCAGCATACCTGGAAGGGTGATGGTGCTCAAGTCCCCTTCAGCTAGCCAGGTGGAAGCATGACGGCGTGAGTGACGCTTCGGGCTCCAAGCGTCTTCCGCGATGCCTCAGGCAAAGGAAAAAGTTCTGGTTTTAGTCCACCCTCCAAAGGAGTTCAGGGTCCTAGGGATGGGTCTCTCCCTCTCACATGCTCTTTTATACCTTACAACAGCCCTGTGAGCCAGACTGCACACCTGGCTCCAGGTGACCTACCTGGTGAGGCGTGTGGCTGAGTCTGGGTTAGACGCTTACCATCCCCAGCTCTAGTTCACCTGCTGTCTCTGGACTGATTTCCCGTCTTCTCTAAGAAGTTCAATGGACACTGAGTCATTCCCATTTTATCCTCCCGGTAAGGCAGGCCTGACCAAAGACCTACAGGGAAGTTTGTGGCGATCCTTACGAGCCTCTTCTAGGCCTCTTCCATGAATGCTGCCTCGAACGTGACTTTATTCCATGGCCTGGTTATGCAGCTCAGTTTCAGTTAATGCTTTCAGCACAGTAGCCCTTCTGTGTTTTCAGTCGTCGTATCAGATTAGCATTTTTAATTGAAATAGCTTAAATATTTGCAAACGGTGCTACGACGGCAGTTCTGGGGGAACTCCTCTTTTCTGACGCTGTACGTGCCACGCTTGCCTGTCGTTAGAGGAGCTGACAAACCCGTTGTTTGTTTTCTGGGCTTCTGCCATCGTGGCGAGAGCTGGCCAGATCTGGAGGGACAACCCTGCCAGCCACACGGAAGAAGTTGCCCAGCTGGCCGGGCTGTGCCGGCAGCTCCCCACCCCTCGGGGAAGGCCAGTCTGGCGTTCCATTCCTCAGTGAGGTCTTGGGCAGGTGCTTCGCCTCTTGTGGAGCAACCGGCCGGCCTCTCTTCTCCAGTCGCTCCGTCCTTTCCCGTTAGAGGAAGCGAAGCGAGTTGATGACCATGTAGCGCGAGAAAAAGACGTACAGGCGGCGGAACCAAACGAACTGGCTGTGGTGGCACCGCATGGCTCTCTGGGGATGAAGAAGAGGCGCAGTGACTCCTTGGCGAGGGCAGAGCCTGGCTGACGGGGACCTTGCAAGGGCGTGCTCCGGGAGTGAGACCATGCCGGTGGAAGCTCCTCCCGGGACAGCCAGTTCAGCCCTTCCAGAGTGGGGAAAACGCTGGCCAAAAGGAAAGTGGCCATGGGGAAGGCGAGCTTGAGGGAGGGGCACGGCCAGAAGGCTGGGTCTGGAGCCCTGAAGCGTAAGCGAGTGCCATGGGCTCGGGCAAGCCATGGCCCAGCCCTGTCGTGTTCAAAGCGGGGAAGACAGGCAAAGAGGAAAGTAACCTTCGGGTTACGGGGCGGCCTAGAAATGGAATTAATTAAACAGATCAATGACTAAATGGGAGGTGCCTCTCCCAGCTTAGATTGCTGAGAAACCACAATCAGGAGGGGCATTCACAGTTTGGCCCGTGGCGCAAAGAGGCTCAAGAGCGGAGACTGAAAGGGGGCATCGTATGCCAGGACGGAGGCGCCCTCATCCTCTGGCCAATTTCCTTGGTTCCCCCCCGCCCCAATAGTTCTCCCCAAAACTGTCCACAGAGTAGAGCAGCCTGGGGTGGGGGATAGCAGAGGCTCTCCAGGGGAGCAGGCGCTTGGCTCATGCGCTTGTGCCAAGTCTCGAGGGGGTAGGTGAGGATGCAGAGCCACAAACGCCTGTGGGCTCAAAGGCAGCCATTGCTGGTGAAAAAGACCAAGGCGGTGGCGATTATTACTGTGTGGGGCGTGTGCATCTCCTCACGACAGCCCAGCAAAGGGGCCTTTCCCAGCCGCAGGAGGGAGGAAAGCCTCGATATCATGGAGGGGCGGGGGAAAGAGGGGTGCGCGTTCCACCGGACCTGCGTGTTGCTCACCTGGGCCACTTCGGCCTCCTCTTCCGTCAGCACGAAGAGAACATCTGGGCTCCGCAGGCGGCTGAGAGGGGCGTCTAGGATGGAGAGGTACTTCCGGAAAAGGCTGACGGTCTCCAGGGTAAGGACGCGGCAACCTGAGCAAGGGAGCACAAGGCCTGGTGAGGTCCGGCAAGGCCTCTGCGTCCCCCCCCCGCTGCGCAACCGGCTTGCTCGAAAGGCGGCGCAACTGCCCCAGAGGCTTTCGCCCGGGCTCAGCGGCCACCGTAGAGATGAAAGCGACTTGCGAGCCACACAAACTCCGACTCGTTCTCCTCCAGGGGTTTCCTCCCTCACTGCCAGGCAGGCTGTGCTGCGGGCGGGCGCTAGGAGGGGAAGGAAGCCCATTCCTCCAGCCCTGGTGAAAGACGCAGTTTTACTTCCTCTTATCCTTGTGTGCCATAGCTACTTGGCTCGCCAGGTGGGAGGACTGGATTTCACTGATCGTGTGACAGCCGCTCTGGGATCCTTTGGTGACTGATGATGTTTATCGTTTTTTTTAAAAAGCAGGGCAGAAATCCTACACGTCTACTCTAAAATAAGCCCCCTCCGAGTATAGAGTGCCTTTGACGTTGTCAGTCGCGAAGTCGCGTCCGCCCCATCGCAGCCCCATGGACAACGTTCCTCCAGGCCTTCCTGTCCCCCACCATCCCTGCAGTCCACCCAAGCTCATGCCGACTGCTTCGGTGACCCCATCCAGCCACCTCATCCTCTGCCGTCCCCTCCTTCTCTTGCCGTCAGTTGTTCCCAGCGTCAGGCTCCTCTCCAGGGAGTCCTTCCTTCTCATCAGGTGGCCAAAGTATTGGAGTTTCATCTTCAGGATCTGGCCTTCTAAAGAGCAGTCGGGGTTGATCTCCTCTAGGACTGACCGGTTTGATCGCCTTGCAGTCCAAGGGACCCCCAGGAGTCTCCTCCAGCACCACAGTTCAAAGGCCTCAATCCTTCGGCGCTCAGCCTTCCTCATGGTCCAGCTTTCACAGCCATGCATTGCAACTGGGAAAACCATCGCCTTGACTGTACGCACTTTTGTCGGCAGGGTGATGTCTCTGCCTTTTAGTACGTTGTCTAGATTTGCCATAGCTTTCCTCCCCAGGAGCAAGCGCCTTTTAATTTCCTGGCTGCAGTCCCTGTCTGCGGTGATCTTGGAGCCCAGGAAAATAAAATCTGTCACTAATAGAGTGCCTTAGGGATGGATAAAAGGTGGACTTGGACTTCAGTTGGTCCACTTGGTTTTGGACTTCAGTTCCCAGCATCCCTGCTCTCCGGTCAGGTTGGTAGGAGTTTCTGGGGGTTGAAAGACCCAGACACTGGCAGACTGGTCTTTTGTTAACTTTTCTGACATAGATGGCTTGAAGAAGAGGGCGAGATAAATTGAGCTGCTATCAGGCCATGATGGCTGGGGATGATGGGAGCTGTAGTCTCCCTGTATCTCTGCTTAGGTTCGCTTAGAACTATTCTTTCCAGAGGTGGCAAACCTGGGTGGTATCAGACAGGGATGGGCCAAAAGTTGGCTTCCAGATGTTTTGGACATCAATGCCCAGCAGCCCTGACCACCGGCCATGCTGGAATTTGCCCCAAACATCTGGAGAGTGCCAGCGGGGTTTAAGTCTGGGTGCAGCGCCGAGGATTCCGGCTGAAACGGTTAAAAAATAATCTCACAAAATAAACCAGCAACCAAAAATTGCAGCAGGCAGCAGATAAAGGTCAAAAGTGGCCAGATAAGGCGGTGAAAAACCTGCTCGGAGGCAAAGAACTTTGGCTTGTGGCAGAAAGCCAGCGGAGAGGACGGGGTCAGGAATTTTCCTCATGCAGCGGGAGGCCAGTGGCCGAACGGAGGAAACGACGAGGGCAACAGGACCTGCGTCTCCTGGCCCAAACCTGCCCGGGCTGCAGCAAGTTTGCTCGTGGGGTCTGTTCGTTGCTGGCAAAAAGCGCCTGGGCCGTCATCGGGCAGCCCCGACAGATGGCGCCATTCAACCCTAAATGCCAAACACGAAGCAGGCAAGGGCGAGCTTTCATCTCGCTCCGGTTTTGATCAGAAGTGACCGACATTCATAGTGTGTTCAGTATTTAGGACAAAAAGAATCAGAGGTTAAGAGGCACAATCCTAGACATGTTCAGGGAGAAAAACAACCTCCTGCAGGGGCTTTTCTTCTGTCTAAGCTTGTATAGGTCGTCGGATTCTTTTTGTCTGAACGTCCACTGGATCGTAGGACATTTCCTGCCTACACGCACCTAAGATTGCTCCAATTCAGTGTGAACACGGGAGAAGCCAAAGCATTTGTCTAGGACTTGGCCTCTGAGCTCTTAACCTTTCAGTCTGGGTCTGAACACACTTCTTTTTCCCGTGAAACGTTCTCTTTTTTCAAAGATACCTGGTAGGCTGGTGCACAAGACCAGGCACGTGCAGGTGAATGAGACCTGTGCTGAGCCCATCATCTGAGAACGCGTTGCCGAAATCCGCGCATTTCTTTGCCGCTGGGGCAAAGAGAACGGGAGCTTTTAAGAAGGGTGGATGTGGCAGAGAGTGGATCAAAGAAATCCATCCTTCCTCGGTGACAGATTGCTGTGGGTTGCGCACACTTGACCCCCAATCTTCTGGGAGGGCTGGCACCCCACATTTGCGCCCACCCCCCTTTTGGCCGGTTTGTGGGGCAGGAAGAAAGGAACAATACGAGCCACGAGCAACAGGCAGATCTTTTTCTCCACTCTTTTAGGGTTGGGAAAGATCCCTGAGAACTACCGGGGAAATTTAGAAACCCCTCTTGCACTCGTTAAACTGAAGAGAAGTCACCTTCCGTTCCGTGAGCTGTACTTTTTCACCTGAACGGATCTTGCAACCAGAACAAAGCGATCGCCTGAAGTGTCTCGCTTGTTTGGCCACGCGGGATGCCCCAGGTGGACTCGGGCATCAGTCAGACCGTGTCCGTTGGGTCTGTCGACCCTCCCTGGACTCTGTGCCCCCCGCCCCGTTGACCAGAGAAGCGAGCAGGTGGCCACTGCGGACAGAGGCGCCTTTCTGGCTGCCTCCCAGCCCCTGGCTTCATCGGCTTAGCCCTTCTAACGGGACGGGCCCCATGCCTGCCAGACTGAATTAAGGCAGACCGAGGGTTGCGGCTATATTGGGTTCGGCTTAGCCTAAGCAGCAGGATGGGTGCTTTCCCTGGCCTCGGGAGATTGTGGGTCGGGGAAGAGGCGACGTAATCGGAGTGGTGGGCGGGGGGCGGGCTTCGTGGGTGGCAGAGGAGGCCTTGGGGGCGGGGGGGACGCGAAGGCAGGGCCCTCCTAGCTGCCACTGGAGCCATGCTCAGAACACGGACCGGCACTTGGGGAAACCGAGGCCTCTTTGCTGGATCTCTGGAGGGAAGGTGTGCAGGGCAAGGCAGTAAACACTGTTATCTGGCTGGTCTCTGCGGGGGCCCCTTTTGGGACCAAAGATGTGGGATGAACACCAATGAGCAAATGAGATGAGCCAGACGCCCAGGTGGCACGAGGAACGGGGAGAAGGACAGCGCAGATTGGGGTGCTGTGTGGGGAAATATGCTTGGGGACGTACCTTCCGGAAGCTTCCTTTCTGTGTGCAGATACCTGTGGAAGACCAAGAGCACAATGGTCAGTCAACGCGCCAAGGGTGTCTCCACCTCAAACGATCCAGGCAGCTGGATCCACCCCCCTGCAGGGGTGCTGGTTATGTTGGAGCAGGAGCTGTCCTAGCTGTGGAAAATGGGCATTCTAGTCCAACAGCTTTGGAAGGAACCGAGTCGTGGGAGCGTGCAAAAGCAGAAACACCCTCATGGTCAGAGGAGGGACGTATGCTTGAGTTTTTTTTTTTTTTAATTTATTTAGAATTTTTGTATGCCGTCCCATCACATAGCCTCCGGGTGGATCAGGGCTCCTTGGCTTGCACCTGCAGACGAAGTCGGTGCATTTCTGAGTGCATGAGGGCGCGATGCACGGACCAGAAACAACTGCCTTTGAGCAGCACTCGGGAAAAACCATGTGCTTCTGAAAAGCCGCGCATGGCTCTTCCTGTGACAGGGAAAGAAGGCAGCCCTGAGAGCCTGGCACCTGCTTAGCAGCATGAGCGGCGCTGCGCTGCCCTGTGGGAGGGATCTGGGCAGAGGCATCTGGGAGACGCTGCCGCAGCCTCAGCCCTTCAGACCCGGCCTTGAGCGTCCTTTCGACGCTGGCGTTCCGTGTGTGGCACCCAGACCCGGCCTCGCCTGGCGAAGGAAAGGCGGGTCTTCACTGGATACTGACCCACTTGAGTCCCTCCTACTTCAAACGGGTTTACTCCGAGCGCGGCTAAGTCTGGGTCCCACCCCAGCTCCGTAGGCCTGAGGGGACGGGATAAAAACACAGGCCGTGCCCGTGCCTTTCAGCTCTTGAACCCGGGCTTCAACGGCGACTGCTTACAGACAGTCAGCAGGGGGCACCTTTCTCCTCAGCACGGCCCCTTTCCTCGCAAGGAGTTAAAGCACTACACAGTGCCTGCCTTGCCTGAAGGACGGCGCCCGTGCGTGCGCGCCCATGTTTTGGCCACCTAGCCTGAAGCATGATTCTTACTGCCTGTGATGAACGGGGAGTGGAACCGAGATGTTCCGAGTCCCAGGCCAATGTTCTAACTACGGCACTACACTGGCTCTATTTAGAACCATGAGGACTGGCCTCTTTGCATTTTGAAAGCAGGAGGCCATAGTTCAGCGGTCCCCCCCGGCCCCCCAGTTTCGATGCAGGGGATCCTGGATGGAATCTCTGGCATCCCCAGGTGAAAAACCCCCACAGCCCCTCCAGGTCAAGGACTGGGCAATCCCAGGCCAAATACAATGCGACTCCTGGGCAGCTGGGCTCAGCAGCTCCCCGCACGGCCCCAGGGAGAAACCATGCGGGGGGGGGGAGAAGACCCCTCCCCACAGCCTCTTGCCCTTTCTGTTAGGGCCATAGAAGGGTTCTCCGACACACAGGCGAGAGACGGGCGGGAGGAGGGCCCGGCCGGCGCGTCCGCCCTTTTCCACTCCCCCCGCCCCGCAGCTCCGGCCTTGCAGCCCGAGAGAGCGCGGCCAAAGAGGCTGGCCCTGGAACGCCTCCAACGAGGGGAGAGGTTGCCGCAGGCCACTCAGCAGCACCTTGCCATTTTGGGAGTGTTCGGTTCGGGAGAGCCGGGAGGGGGAACAGGGTGGGTGGGCTGGCTCGCTGAGGAAAGGGAAGCGGGCACGGGGGTCTGGCGGCTGGCCTCGCGATGCGGGGAGGAAACGCGTTCCCGGCCCGCTGGCCCCCAGCCGCTGCCCGAGGCCGTTGAGCCATCGCGCTCCAGGGAGAAGCGGGCCAAGCAGCCGAGGGCTGGCTCTCTCTCCTGGCAGTGGCAAAGCTCACGGGACGCGAGGGAGGTCGGCTCCCCCTCCTTTAGAAGGCCACGGGATGACCTCTGTTACAAAGACCCAGCTAAGGTTTCTCTGCCCAGCCTCCTCGGCCGCCAGCCCAACCCTTCAGGGCAAGGCACCGAAGAACAGCACCCCGGCCGCAAGCCACGCGGCCGTTCCCCGTTCACCGCAGCAGAAACGCGGCTCTCGGAACATTTCGCCGCTTTGCCAACGTGGGTTTGCAGCCACGAGCTTCCGAAGATGTGTGCCCGCACACGCCCCTCCATTTGCACACCGGCCGGTTTGCCCTAGGGCAGGGATACGCAGGTTCTTCGACATGTGCTTTTGCTGCGATTGGGAACAGCGAGAGATGCGTGTCTTGCCCAATGGAAAATGCATTTTCCAGATCAGAAAGAGGTGTTCGTGTCTGGAAACAGAGCCCTGGCAAAAGAAACTCTGCGGGGGAATGCGGAGAGGTGTCCCCACCTCTGTGTCCCCACCAGGCTAGAGAACTCGTGTGGGGCCGTGTGGGGCTGGAACGCAGGAAACCTGGGCTCTAGTCCCCCATGCAGCTTCCTGTGAGTGCCCTTGGCCCAGCTGCTGACTCCTGGCCTGGCCTACTTTGCAGGGTTGTTGTGAGAATAAAACGTAAGCGGCGGCGGAGGACTACATAAGCGGCCTTGAGATCCTTGTCAGAGGGAAGAAAACACGGAACACGCCAGTAAACATTATGAAAGCAACCACAAAAAAGCTTGCCAGCCGTGGCGAAAAGAGGGTTCCTCTGCACATGCCCAGAGCATTTTAAACACAGTGAACGTGCCTTCGGGAATAAGATGGGGCTGCCGAGGGGCCTGCTGCCCTCCGCAGGTGCTGCCTTCTGGGTGGTCACTTTGGGAGGGCAGGATTTGTCCCCGCAGCAGGACCCCAGCAAGCCCTGCCTCCGGGAGGAACACGGGGAGCCGCTCTGCGCGAGCCGGTGCTTTGGATTTCCAGGAGGCACAGAAGGGGTGTTCTGGCTCTTTCCCCTGGAGATGGCCCTGGGCCCCTTTCCCTGGAGGCCCCATGAGAACCTGCCAGGGCTCAGGACCACGTGCTGGAGTGGAAGGGCAGCCGTCCGGCCCTGCAGACGACCCATACCTGACTGCGGCGTGAAGGGATCTGTGGTTGGCGTGGCCACTCACTCCTCCTGCGTCGAAGGTCACGACCTGGGGATGGAAGAGGGGGGAGAGCTGTCTTTGTTCCTACTGCAAATTGCAAGGACGAGGGACATTTCTAAAGAACAAAATAAACGAGGGCAACTGAGGTGTGGGAAGGAGGGACACCTCAATGAGACGGAGGGGTGGCTTGATTTCCGGGGATCCCGTATGCTCGTTTGGGAACTTTGAGCCTCAATGTTGGATCCGGGGTGGAGATTTATTTTCTAAATAATAATAATAGTGGCAAGAGTAAAGCAAAACTAAGAAAACGACCCCAAATTAAGAGAAGCTACTGGTGGCACAGAACGTCCGGTGGATGACCACTGCCGGATTGGTGGTGGTGGTGGTGTGCGGAGACCACATACTTTAATAACCCCTGAAAGACCACAAGGGAATAGCCCTGGTGGTCCCCCTGCGGGAGGGAACGGTGGCGCCGGGGAGCCACTGCTGAGAAGGCCCTGCTCCCACGCCCTGTCACCATCCGGCGGCAGGGCGCAGTGTCTGCCCAGCCGGTGCCAGTGGCATGAAGCGGCGTCCTGGGCCCACACGGTTCAGGGCTGTCCCTGCCCTGTCTTGTCCCCACTCCACCTGGAGACACGTCCTCCGACCGTGAATTGGGCCCTTCCAGCCACACATAATCCATTCAGGCAGCGCCACCGCAGGGGCGCTGGGAGCGCCTCTGCGATGCAGCCACAGACGCCGCCCATGGATGGAGCAGGTGGCGGTGGCCGCAGAAGCGTCCTGCTTGCCGGGCTGGCTCAGCGCCATTTGTTTCCTCCTGAAGGGCTGTTTGCCTCGTCTCTTCCCCGTCCTGGTTACACAACCAAGAGGCTCCCGGAGGCGGTAGGGGAAAGGTTAGAGAAGGAAGATCGCAGCCCCGTCATCTGGTGCTTCTCTGCCTGACCAGGAAGGGGGATGTCTCGCTCCGCACGGAGGTGCGGAGCCGCCGAAACATGCTGAGAGAGCTCGGCTGCAGCCCTCTGGGTCTTGTCAGGGCCTGGGTGGCCGATGCTGCGAGAAGGAGCACACCCCGACGCAGGGCCCTAGTGTGGCGAAGGGTGGGGTGACCCAACGATGCGGCTCACAGGGCAGCCCCGACTCCACGTGGTCCCACATCGCCGCCCCCTCCAAGCTGCTGCCTTCCACCTCTTCAGGATGCCCAGACATGACCCTGTACAGCCAGCACGGCCGACGGTCAGGGACGCCAGGTGCTGCAGCCCAAAAACAACCCACAGACCGTCCAGTGGGGCCGATCCCCCTGCGGAAGGCTTTCTGCAGCCCTAAGAGCCACTCTGCCACCGTGCTCAGGTTTCTGGGGTCGGGCCCAGGCCTTCCGATTTTGGGCTCCCCGTGCTTGGGCAGATTCCCCGGCAACAGCCGCTCAGGGAGGGACCCGGGCACTCGTGCTGGGGAAACCCCTCTCCCCCTTGACCGAGTCTGCCCCACTGCCACAGTCTGGGGCAGATTACTTTGGAAGCAAAACCAGCTCCCATGGGGTGAGCGAAGCGGGCCAGGAGTCGAGCCGCCGGCAGCAGGAGGGACTGCCCTTGCCTCTCTGAGCCGGTCCGACAGGTTCCGGGAGCGAGTGCCGGCAGTGGGGAGGCCTCCCCTGGTGGGAAGCCTCTTTGTGCAACGGGAACGCCAGCACGCCCTTCTCGGCACCTGATCCCGAACAAGAGGGGCCGGTTTCCCTGGTGCGAAGGAGCTTGGATGAAGAAAACCTTTGGGAGGGGGGAGCAGCGAGGCAGCTGAGCTCCAGACCGTATCCCTTCTGAATGGGGGCGAGAGCAGAGACGGGGGTGTTCGAAGGAGCAGGGAAACTTGCCTGCAGACTCGGCACCTGCTTTCCCTTCCCATACCCCTAGGACAGAGCCATCCGCCCAATCCTTTCTCTCCCACTCCCTTCCATTGTGGATCTTTTAATAAACCAACACCAGACTGGGGCTGGCTGGCCCGTCTCCTGGAAAAGGCACAAGCCGGGGTGGGGGACCGGGTGGTTCTGTGGGCCAATTTGATCAGCCGGGGCGTGCTCGGAAGTCCCCAGATCTCTCCCAGCCCCTTTTCTTTTAATAACGCTTTAAAATGCCCTCAGCCCTCCTGTTCAGGAGAGCCTCCTGCTTTTAGTTGCTGAGCTATTTAAAGTTGGCTCATCTGCTTTATTCTATGCTCCCAAGAAAACGGGAGTTCCAAATTCCGTAGACAAAGAAACATGGCCACAGAGCCCAGGTGGAAGGCGGCATATGCCGTCGGGGGCCCACAACCAGCCAGCCTGGAGATGTTTTGGCCTCCGGCAGAGGAGAGCCGGCTTCCCTCCATGGAGCTGTATCGCTTTGGTGCTGGATCTCAAGCGTGGAGAAGGCTTCGTGTTTATCCTAAGTGCGTTCACGGAGGCCTTCGGGTTTTGGGTTTGCCTACACTGTCACACCCTCATCCTGGAGGGGCGGGTCCTGCTACTCCATAGACCATGGGCCACAGAGTATACCTGGCCAGCTCATTTGCCTTGCCCACTGTCCTGCAGAGCGAGGGCCACAGCACCCCTTGCTGGCGGCTGTGGGGATGAGCACAGCAGTGCGCTTCAGTGCGCTTCAGTGTCGATTAATGCGCTCCGGATGGCTGTGCAGAGGTTGCCCGCTGGGGTTGTAGGCGATGGCGCCTGTGGAGGTTTAGGCGGGCATTAGAAGGAATTTTCATGATGCCTCCTGAAGGCAAAGTGTAATATAGCTCTACCCATTTCCTGCTACCTATAAAGGAATGCATTCAACAAGGAAGCGCCTCCCGCCCCATAATTCTGGTGGGTCAAAGCCATGACAAAAAGCCTTCCAAGCCACTGCTGCCTGAGAAAAAGCAGCCACAAAGGAACTCCAGGGGTTTCTTTACCAGGTTGATTCGGTTTGTCTCAATATGCTGGCGGATCAGGGCAGAAAGCAGCTGCGTGTCCCACTCAGCAGAAGGATGGTCCGGAAGATCCCTGGAAAACAACAAGAAAAATAATGTTTTCTGTGACCTTCCCAGAGAAATTTCACTACCGGGCAGCCAAGAAATTAAAGTATAATTACCGCTAACAACAACTATAAATCCTAATTATACTATTGCACGTTGCACGTTGTCAGTGGAACTTCGTGTTCCCAGCAGTGAGTTAAAAGGATCTCTTGTCCACGTGCAGAGTACATTTCTATCTCCTAGAGGTCTTTGAGGGGTTGAGAGAAACCTTCCATCAACAAGAAAATCCCACAAAGAGCCGGCATTCCACAGCCTGGAAGGAAGCGGAAGAAAATCAGAAGCGTCAGGAGGTGGGGAGGACCATGCCCTGGCTGAGACGCCCTGGAGACGACTGACCAAAGGTCTGGCCGGGATGAGGCTGCTTCGGATCAGGGCCGTGGGTGGATTCCCACCCTGAAGGGCTGTTCAGACGGAAAATGGTCCTTTGGGGAGCTAGGCCAGCTGTGGAATGCTGGCTATTTTTGTGGGATTTTTGTGTTGACATGTGTGCCCTACAGCCCTTCCTTCTGACAACTAAACCTCGGAAAAGACATCTCCGCCTTTGAGAATGGGGACAGAACTCCGAAATAGCCGGGGACCCAGCAAACGATCGACAGCTGTTGGAGAGAAGATGGGGCCGGGAAAAGAGGCCTTGATTTTCCTGGGACCCAGGGAGGGCTGCCCTGACACTCTGGGCCTTGAATCTGCACCTTAGCTTGGTACGTTCTCATGCACGGGATGCTGTGAAACCAACAAGTGAGTATCAGAACCGGCTGGAAGAGGAGAATGCCACTGTGGACAGCCCAGCCTTCCAGCAGGCCTTTCCCGGCTGCAGTTCCCATCATCCCCAGCCAGTGCCTCACGGGCTGAAGAGGAAGGGAAGTTTTTCGCCCCACAGGAAACGATGCCCTGCACCCCACCCCAAGCCCACGCTTGGGAGCCTGGCCCGAAAGCCACATCGGCTGCGGCTGTGACAGGCTGGTTCTGCTTTGAGACGCCGCAGACTCCCGTTGCGAGAGGAGGGGTCACTTGAGTTCAGTGGAAAGCAATAGCTGGAGCCTGATCAGCACCTCCCTGTGGCGGGCGTCGGGGGGGGGGGGCACACTGACAGTGAGCCAACATTAAATGGGAAATCTTGTGACGGGAACGCAAAGCAAGGCACCCAACCGCCTGGAAAGAAAGGTGGTTAATCAGTCTCAGACGTTGTTGCTGCTGAATCCGCAGAAATGTTCAGGCACAAATGTGAACGGAATCCCGCACGCGATTCCCATGGTTTGGAACGGGGCGGGAGTGAGCATCCGACCCGAGCCACCAGCAAGCGGTGGTCTGGTGGGGGGGGCAAGGGAATTCTGTGGGAGCGCTTGCGAACGTGCAGGTGGTCCTCCTCCTGGCCTCTGACACCGTGCCCCGCCCCCGGGGAGCCCCCAGTTGCAGGCGGTCACGGGGGCCCAGCCAACAGGCGAGCGCCAGCCGTTCGGATTTCTGCCAAGAGTTGGTCTTCCACAGAATGGATGGGTCTTTGTTGCCCATTCGTGATCCAGCTGCCTGAAATGTTTTGCCCCGGAACAGGGAGCACCGTATCGGTTGCTGGGAGAAAGTCATAAAATCGTGGAAGAGCAGAGCTGGAAGGGGCCCTGAAGGCCATCGAGTCCACCCCACTGCTGTTGCAGGACACCACGTCACACCACCCCACTCAGGTGGCTGCCCAGTTTCCCCTTGAATGTCTCCGGTGTGGGAGAGTCCCCCACCTCTCCAGGCAGCTGGTCCCACTGCTGTATCGCTCTGACAGTAGGAAGCTTTTCCTGACGTCCAGCCTGAATCTGGATTGCCACAACCTGAAGGGATTATTCCGCATCCTGCACTCTGGCACCAGCAAGAAGAGATCTTGGCCTTCCTCTTTGTGAGAGCCTTATAAAGGGATATCGTGTCCCCCCCTCAGTCTCCTCTTCTCAAGGCAAAGTTATAGGCTATAGGAACCTCGACCTTTTGGAATGGGGGAAAGGCCACCTGTGGCAGGGGAACCCAGTGAGAGGGTTGTGGGGAAAACCAGGTGGGGTGAGGGAGCGGGACATGGCCCCCCGGCACAGCTTTCCAACAATGGAGGATGCTGGATGCTTTTCAGCCATCTGGGGGCTCACTGGATCTTCGGTATTCAGCAGGTTCACGGGGCCCAGGTACCCATCCACTTGGGAGCTCAAAGTCCCAGGCCCTGCGGTCACGGAGCAAAGAGGGAAGTGAACTTTAATACATCTCTGGGAGCTGGTTTTCGCGGACGCATCTCTCTGGGTTATCTCCCCACTTCTTGTCCTCCAATCCCGTTCTTGGATCTTGCTGGGCTGCCCATCACAACAGTGGATCGAGAGATGGATTGCGGTGCTGCCGAGCGGGGAAAATTGGCCGGATTAAACATTTACAGCCGGCCTGAACTCGTGACAAAGCAGACAGGGGCCGGCTGTGCTCTGCACGCTGCGGAACACGGACGGGGTGCCAAGGAAGCGCCCACGGGAAGAGGTCAGCGCTCCGGCTGGAGCACGTGCCCTGCTTTTAGACCTGGTTCTCGGTCAGTCCAAGCCTTGAACACCCGGTGCCTGGCGCGCTCTTCCCCCGGGAGTCTGCTGGCTTCAACCCGGCACTCGGAATCAGGCCTGATTGTCTCATCTGAGGATAAGGACGCTTTCTCTTTTCTTATTTTTTAAGCACTGACTTGCGCCTTATGAATGGGTAGCCTCCACCCTAAGGAGCTTCCCCTTTAAAAACAGCCATGGGAGAGACCCCTGAGCAAGGGGAGGGAACCAGGGATGGGGCAAATCAGTTAAATGAGGGGTGGCTATCAGTGCCCCCCAGGATACTTAGCTAGCGCCTTCCAAATTTTCCTACCCCCCTTTTTTTGCTAATAAGATGCAATATCCGAACCGGCCGCTGAGACTGCTTAAAAGCAACAGGAGGGTGGCCGAGGGCTTCCATCTTCATTTCCTGGGAGCACCCCTGGGCCCCACACGGGACTGGGAGGCAATTGTGGGGAAGTGCAGCGGTGGCGGGGTATAAACCAAGGCTTTTCTGCATGCAGCATCCAGCCACCAAGAGAAAGAAGGCAGAAAGGAAAGAAAAAAGACTGACACACCGTGCCTCCTGCAGCAGCCATTTTGTGGTGGGGCCAGGGAGAATTTCTCAGCATGCCAAATGTACGCCGGGCCAGAAAAGGCTGCCTCCCCCAGCCTAAAGGAATTGTTCAATTGGTAAAATGAACTGCTCTTCAAAGGCTTCACAAGAACCCAGCCTCTTCAGGCAAACACCCGACGATGGGCAGATGTTCCTTGGCACCGGTCATCTCCCCACAGAGACCCTCCCGATCTCAGGCCGCCTCATGCGAAGCGTTCCCAGTCTTTCCTTCGAACGATGCCCATCGTGACGGGGGATCCTGGGGAACGACGGACCGTTTCCCAGCAGGAGCTCGGATATGCTTTTCTCGGACACCATGGAGCAGCTTGGCAGAACGTGAAAAATGGCGCTTGCCTGAGCACGGTGCCTCCGAGGCCAGGAGGCGGGCCAGTGGGAGCGAAGCAGCGCAGGCTGGGGCAAGTTCGGATCCAGCGGGGAGCCCCTGGCGCGCGGCCCTTCGCAGGCCTGCGTCTCCCGGCCCGCTTTTGTGGGCACCGCTGCAGAAAGTGCCGTGAGCAGCAAAACGGGGAGCCATTGTGGCGCGCGAGGCTGAGGAAGATGGGAATCATTCGACAGAGGTGGTGCGGAAAGGCAGACAAGAGAGACCTCGGCTCTGGTCCTGAGGGTCTTCTTCTAGATTCTGCCTTAAAACAGGGACTCAGGGAGGGAGATCTGAAGCTGCCAGCAGTGTTCACGTTGGAAACGTTCCCCCGTCTCGCTGGAAGGTGTCACAGGGGAGGAGCCGGGGCAGCGAATCCCAAAGAGGCAGTTGCTGCTCATCATGCCAGGCAGGAAATCCACCCTGCTTGGCAGAGGAGAGTCGGTCAGACAGAACAGGAATTTAAAGCGCTTCTTTCCAAATAAACTTTTTCGAAAACAAGCACAGGCACAACGGCGGCGGTGACACGGAAGCAACAACAGGGTGTCCCTGGTACATGGTGTCCCAACGCAACGAGGATACCTGGTCGGGAGCCCGGCTGCTGTGCGTGGTTTGCTCTCGGCACAAGGCAGAACCACCTCCCAGCCAAGGATGTGCAAACCGTGTTGGCTAATTGACAGGCTTCAGAGCCGTGCGTGGAGGCCAGCTCGGAGTGGCTGCCTTAAAGTGGGCGGACGGAGGCCAGTGGCCCCCCCCCAGCCCACTGCTGTCTCCCCCAGCTGGCATTGGCATTCCAGCTTTCAGGCACAGGAGAACATTCCCATGACCTGCTGCTTCCAGGGGTTGAACCCCGGCTCTTCGGCATGCAAGGCAGAGGCTCCAGCGGGGTGCCCAGCCTCCTGGCCCAGCTTGTGGGCTTCCCCAAAGCCCCCGGGGAGCCCCTGCAGGGATACGAGGGGGATCTCAGTCTGCACTGGCAAGCCTCACTTCTGATGTTCATGCCCCTGAGGCTGCGGAGGCCTCCGGGAGCCGTGCTGGCCGAGCAGAGAGGGATGAACCGAGCAACCTTTGGGCTTTGCCCTTGTCCGCCGCAGCCCCCCTGCTCCGAGCAATTTATGCAAACATGACGTGGCCCAAAGAGCCGAGCCTCCCGCCTCCTCCTGTGATCTGGAGTAACCTCTGGGCACGGCCCAGCTCGCTGTTCCTGCAGGTGCCCTCGGCTCTGGCCTGCAAGGGAACCTGCCCGGATAGGGAATAGTTCGGAAGCGGTTTATGCTCGTCATTTGGGGGTGGGCAGGCAGGGAAAGGAGAGGGAAAAGTGGAGGAAGGGACTCTTGGGGCCACTTCTCTGTTTCTGTTTCTTGCCGCTAGTTCCAGAGAGCTTCCCTGCCACATCTTGGTGCATGTAGCTTCTTAGGGTCCGAACTCCTGGCAAAGGGCTTGGGAAGAGG